TTAGCAGAAGAAAGTTCGAGCTCATGATATCTGTTTATATAACAATTGTTTGCATATATTAAGAGCTAAGCATGAACATGGAACTAACTTCTTGTATACTTTCTGCAAAAGGAAAATTATCGTCATGTTTTATGCACTAACATAGGAGACCACTGGACTGCACATGTACCATTGACTAAGAAGAACCAAACAGAATTAAGATGTTATAACTGCTAACCTTGACCATAGTGTCTCGCATAAAATCATATTCAAATCGTTTAAGCTGAAGTTGAAGTACTGGAGGGAAGTCGATGAACAACACACCCTTCTTAGCATCCTGGAATAACATCATCAAAAATTCAAAATGCAATTATTTAAGTATGAAAAGCTATAACACGGTATGAGAAATAATGCACCAAACACAAAATAAAACAACTAAAAGAAAAAAGAATGCTCGTGTAAAGAGTAAACTTCCAAAGTAATCCAGTTCCAGAAGTGCACAAGATGACAATTTGTTACAGCCACAGCAAAATTAGACACATGCTGTGCACCCAGGCCAAAATAGCAACTCTTATGCAGATGTTTATTACTGCACAATGATCTAACAAAAGGAAAAATCTCAAGCAATCAAGTAATTTGTGATGTATGCATAGATCATCCCATTGGTATTGTCTTAGAAGCATGATAATTTATTGATAAAATTTTACATATACTTTAATCATGTAATTACAAATATCTTTTAGAATCTCACGTTTAACAAAATACAACAGAAGCTTACCTGCAATCCATATTGCTCAGCATGATATTTATTATCACCTTCGAGGCGTTCAACTTCTACATACTTGTCAAAAGAAGCATATACATCATGACAGCCTTTAACATCCAGCTGAAGATCTGGTATAGGCAAGAAGTAAATTAGCATCAAACGGATTACAGGACTCGTGACATCCCAAGCAGTAGTTAAAAAAATTTGAAAGAAATAGATACCATAAAATGACTCCTTCCTTGTAGATTTATAGTCCACGTTAATACACTCAATGTAGTTCATATGGTGCCCCTCAAACAACTGCTGTATAGTTCCCTCCACAACAGTTCCCTGGTGGCAATAATAGAAGCAATCATAATTTACTCCGGATTCACATAAGAATAAGCTCGTGATTAAAAGATCATCGATGTATTTCACCTTCATTTTATCTTCAAGTTTTTCACAAAGAACCCTATTAAGTTCCTGAACGTCATGCTGCATGAAAGAATCATGTGTGTCCCATCCAAAAGATTTGGTCAGCTCTTTTGTTGCAACACTGCTGTCACTGTACTGGAGTTTGTAAAATAAACTCTGCAGAGCGAGAGGGATGCTTCCAGATGGCATATCATTCTCTGTTGTAGGCATATGATACACTGCCTGAAATATAACATGTGATGCATTAGCAAAAGTAACCCAACAAAACATCATTTCAGCAAAATATGGAGCATCAGTACTTACCTTCCTGAAGTAAGGAATGTGATACAGAGTTTGGAGCAGAGAGTTCATGTAACATGTTGCTCCTTGATTTTTAAGTCCAACATAACCAGTTTCCTTCTTTGAGTCATATGTCCAGTAATCAACAATTCTGCGGACAACAACCTCTGCTTCAACAATCAAAGTGTCATTCACAAGAAACCCTCGGCAAGGATCGTATAACTCGCCAAGGGGCATAAAGGATGTAAAACCCCAATCACTTTCTCGTGCATTAAACTGGTGTTGCGTCTCTGCAAAATCCAAGTCAGGTAAGTGCAAATTTTAATAAGCTTAAATTATACTCTCCAATGTTATGATAAGATCCACATCAAATAACAAAAAATATTTGATAAAAACCAAGACTTGAACATATTACTAAGAGCTAAGCTAGTGCATCACAAAGGCTACATTTTCTTTTTAATTTGATTAATAATAGGGCATCATAAAGGCAGCATTTTCTTTTTAATCTGATTAATAATCAGAGATGACTTTCATTGCATCAAATCCATATTAGACTACATATAAAAAGGGTGAAAATGTATAACTCTTTGAAATGATGAAAGTGTAGCACAAATGAGGACTTTCTTGACCTGGCATTGATTATAAAAATGAAACTGCCGCAGCAAAATAGCAACAAACTATTTTGAGTTTATAATACCAAGAAAATAATGCTTAAATGGTGTACATATAATCTACTTAAAGGATAATACCTTTTCTAATAGAATATTTGCTATGAATTTGATTAACTACTGCCAAACTGAACTGCGCATATCTACTCCACCCATAGGGTAAGCTTGCTGAATCAGCAACGTCCAGATACATAGACAAATGATCCACATTGTTTCCCTTTGGAAATAGAAGTATTCGCCTAAGCAATTAAAACCAAAAGTATTAAAATCATCAATTATCATCGCCAAAAAAAACGAGAGAGAGAAAAAATAACAGTAGCACTATCAACGAGAAAGGAGAGAGATATATATACCATTTATAACCACCAACAACAAATACTTCAGAATAATGCTTCTTAGCGTTTAACCTAGAGAAGTTCTCAATCCTCCAAGTGAATCTCGATGAAGGAGGATCCTCGACTGGTTGATTTTCCGCAATATTTGAAGTCTCCGGTTGCGCTACTACTAACAATCAAAGATACAAATCACGAGGATCGCAATCAGATTAAACCCCCTCTCGTTTCAGTGCTATCCAAAAGACAGCTAGAATTTTATTTATTTTTTAGAAACTTGCATTGATGTAAGCGAATAAAAGTAGTAAATTTCCCGAAAGGAAAGAGAAAAAAAAAGGAGAAGAGTACCTTCCATTGGCTGGTGATTGTCGTTCAAATCAGACTGCGGGACGAGCATTTCCTCGTCTTCTTGTTGCTAAAGAAATCGAAGAAAATTCCAGAAAAAAAGTAAACTAAATCAGAAGAATCAAATCCATCAATAAACGGAAATTGCACAAAAAATCAATTAATAAAAGAAAACAAATCATAAACAAAAAGGAAGTAAAAGAGAGAGAGAGAGTACATCAACGGTTGCAGGGGTCATGACAGTCATAGCTATGAAATTGAGAGGTAAACTTCGAAGTTTACGAAGAAAAAATAGAAGGGGAAACTTAGAGAGAAGGTTTTTTTTTTTGGATGATTTCTATTCCAGCGAAGAGAAGCGAGGGGAACGAAAGGTCTTTCGATGGTTATTTGGGAAATGGGGTATTTTCGGTATTCCGAATGTTCTCTTCACTTCCTTTTTGTTCATCGGACACGAATTGTTGGCTACGGTCCAATTCATATACTATACAATACCAGTATTCAAATATGGCGTATAATTAGAAAATAAAATAACAACAAATTGATCTAGTAGGATGAGGTACTAGGTTCTTTAAACAAAGTCAGGAGTTTAAATCTTGAAGTTTGTGAATATAGTAAATTAGGTTAGGAGGGTCACCCTCGACTCTGCAGTACATGATCTAAATTAGCCGATAAACAGATCGAATACAAGTGATTAATTAAAAAAAAAACTAAACTTCCATTTTAATCCCCTTACTATGTAATCTCTCTCTTTTTTAGGCCAAGTAAATTAAGATTTAAGCCTCATTTGCTGAATCTTATGAAAAAATCTACCACGGCATATTGCAGGGTTCCATCACTTCATATGAGAAAGAGTAAGCTCTGGTTTTATTATAATAAATTTCTATCAATCACTTCTTTACTAATTTAAAACTTATTAGTATAATATTTTAAATTATTTTAATTATAATATATCTAATAATTTGATTACTTTATTTTTTAAAATTCTAATTTATTTTCAGATAATCAATTTTACAAATTAGGTTAGTTTTTTACATCCATACTTTTGAAAAAGTAAGACAAACAAGCGAAATTTAATTCGTTGCATCAATTTCTACTTGGGACGGTGGTCTTTGTTCCCCACTTATACAACCTGGTTTACAAATCTGGTTTGGTTTTCTTGCTCCAAATTTTTCTGGATTCTGATTTTATTGCGTTATCGGTTATCTGTATTTGTGTTCTTAGGGTGTATACCTCAATTATCATTCACAAACCTCCGAGATCTGTTATTTACAAGGCCAGGTTTCACAGATCAAAGATCTACTTCAGACATCTAAAACAGTTCCGTTTTGTTGACCTCAGCTTTAAAGCGTTCAGCTTCTTTGAGGTTTGGGATTTTGGATGTTGCTTTATGTTATGGTTCACAGATCTGGGTTTGGTATTGTTAATCGCTTTGATTTGCTCTTCTGTTTTGATTTGTTTCTTCGCTTCTTCTTTTAAATTTCTGTTTTAGATCTTTCAATTTTTTTATTTTTTATTTTTTAACTTCAAATTTTCAAGATTATCGTCATTCTCAATAGACTAGCCGTGATCGCCTATCGAAACCGATCTTCAATTCTTGAATCTTGATTTGTATAGTTTTTGTGCCTGTTTCGGAAAACTTTGATTATGGTGGGGATATTTTATCTATCATTTTTTTTACTTAAATTGATTCTTTAATTTTAATGACTTTTACTTTGTGTTTAAATTATAGAATCATTCATCGTCTTTATTATTAAAAGAATATTGATTCTTTTAAGTTTCTAAATTGGGAGTCCAATTGGGGAAAAAACATAAGCAAAAATAAACTGTAAATTTTCGTTTTATATATATCCCAACAATTTCAGTTGTTTTTCCCCCTTACTATTTTGTTAGTGTTTGATAGTAAACTCGGGTTCTTGGTTTTGAATAATATGATTCTATGTTATTCTAGTGAGATCTGCCTGTTAGAGTTTAACATTTGATTGATTTCTTTTGGCTTATATTTTTAGTTTGTTTATGGTAGCTAGAAATTTATTAAATCAAATCTGTTGATGTTGTATAAGTTATAGATCTGTATCTTACTTTTACATATTTAAGTAAGATATAAATCCAATCATTGGATCCTAGCTTTTGGCCTAAAGTTAATTAAGATAGTGTTAATTTGTTTTAAAATTCTATTAAGTAATCAACTAGGCTTCTTAGTACCCCTCAATTCTCTAGCGTTTTATTGGTGCACCTTCTGTCTTCTTTGGATTCCTTTTTCATAGTTCCTCATAGCTTCGGTTATAGATGATTACTTGAGGTCATGCCATTCTTTTAGATCCCATAGGACGTATAGGGGGAGGGCTCGACAGAGTGGTGTCAAGGATACTAGACTTAGAGTTTGTTCATTGAATGTAGACACATTGAATGCTAGGCTACTGGAGCTGACCGACGTACTTAGTAATTGAAAAATAGATTTTGCATGTATTCAGGAGACTAGGTGGATAGGAGCTTGTGCAAGAGAGTGTAATGGGTACAAGTTATGGTATTCAGGCATATATAACGCTAGAAATGGGGTGGGTATCTTGGTATCCTCTAAGCTCAAGGAAAATGTAGTTGAAGTTTGTAGATACCGGGATAGGATCATGATGATTAAGGTTATTATAGAAGTGGAAGTGGTGAATGTCCTTTCAGTGTACACCCCACACATTGGCCTAGGGGAGGGGGAGAAATGTTGTTTCTAGGACCAACTAGATGATGTACTTAGGAGCTTCCCGGAGGACCAAAGAGTTTTCATAGGAGGAGACTTCAATGGTCATATAGGTAGTGCAACCGACGGGTATGACGGTGTTCATGGGGGTTTTGATTTTGGTAGTAGGAACGAGGAGGGGCGTACGTTGCTTGAATTTGCTTCTGCACACGATATGGTGGTCACTAACTCCTTCTTTAACAAGAAAGATGTGAATTTGATTATGTTCCATAGCAGGGGACATTGTATCCAAATCGACTACATCCTGGTTCGAAATCCGGATCGATGGGCTTGCATTGACTGTAAGGTGTTTCCTGAAGAGGCATGTGCATCACAACACAGATTGTTGGTTTTGGTGTTCCGCATATGCCACGGGTGGAACACTCATAGGAGGACTAAGCTTGGTAAACCTATGATCCTTTGGAAGAACTTACATGGAGCGACAGCTGATGACTTTAAGAGTAAGATTTTGTCTAATACAGGCTTTGGAACTACAAGCGCAAATAATGCATATATGTTATGGAAAAATATGGCAAATTCCATCAGAGAGGTAGGAAAAAACACCCTTGGGTTGTCGACAGGGAAGGTCAAGGATCATAAAGAATTGTGGTGGTGGAATGACGAAGTCCAAACTAGGGTGAAGACAAAGCAAACTTGCTTCAAGGAGTTTCTGCAATGAAATGACGACGAAGAAAGATCGAGAGCTAAACAAAGATACAAGGAGGCAAAGCGGGAAGCCAAGAAAATAGTGGCTAAAGCAAAGGATAAGGCATACAAGGAAATGTACAAGAGACTTGACTCCAATGAAGAACAAAACTGCATCTTCAGGCTTGCAAAATCCAGGGAAAATAGGAAAAAATATCTAGGTAGCATTAGGTTTATTAAGGACAACAATGGTGTTCTTTTAGTGGAAGATCATGATATTAAAAGGGTTTGGGGTAGTTACTTCTTTGGCTTATTTAATGACGGTGCCTCTCCCTGTAGAGATAGTACCGTTGATGGGCCAGCCGACCATCATACTACGACCAATGACGACACTACAAGTAGGATTGGGTTTGAGGAAGTCAAAATGGCTCTTAGAAAGATGGGGAGGGACAAAGCTGTCGGTCCAGATCAAATTCCTATCACTGTGTGGTTGGCCCTAGGAGAAGAGGGAGTTAAGTGGTTGACCAACATCTTTAATATTATTTTAGAGACTGCCAAGATGCTAGAGGAATAGAGAGAGTCTACGGTGATACCAATCTATAAGAATAAAGGAGATCTCCAACGTTGTGGCAACTACAGAGGTATTAAACTACTCAGCCATACCATGAAGCTATGAGAAAGGGTGATAGAGGCTAGGTTGAGGCAGGTTACTAAGGTTTCGGAAAACCAATTTGGCTTTATGCCAGACAGGTCTACTACGGAGGTGATTCATCTACTTCGACGGCTTATGGAGAAATATAGGGAAAAAATAGAGATATTCACATGGCGTTCATTAACCTTGAGAAGGCGTACGATAGCGTCCCCCACGATACGATCTAGAAGACCTTGGAAACGAGACGAATCCCAAGTGCTTCTATCCGGGCGATTCGTGATATGTACTGTAGATCTACTACTTACGTCAGGACTACAGTTTGTGACACCAAGGCATTCTCGGTGGAAATCAGACTCCATCAAGGTTCAGCTCTTAGCCCTTACATCTTTGCCTTGATTATGGACGACATCTTTTGTGTGATACCAGACGGTGTTCCATGGTGTATGCTTTTCGCTGACGACATTGTCCTAGTTGCTGAAACAAAAACTGAGATGAATAGTAGACTGTCTACCTGGAAGACTGCTTTGGAAGAAAAGGGTCTAAGGATCAATATTGAAAAGATAGAGTATTTATGTTCAAACTTCAGTGTGAACCAAAACGATGAAGATGTAGAAGTATGCATAGAAGGACACGTTATCCCCTCAAAGGATTGTTTCAAGTACCTAGGGTCTATGATACATAAAGATGGGGGTATATATTATGATGTTACATATTGCATAAAGGCGGGATGGCTAAAGTGGAGGGCTGCTACTGAAGTTTTATGTGACAAGAAGGTGCCTCTAAAGCTTAAGGGAAAATTTTATAGAATGGTAATAAGACCAGCGTTGCTGTATGAATCAGAATGTTGGGCAATCAAGAAGGATCATGTAAGGAGGATGGAGGCCACAGAAATGAGAATGCTTCGATGGACATGTGGTAGGACTCTGTGGGACATGACACCAAACTCTACTATTAGGATGTCTTTGGGGGTGGTGCCTGTATCCGAAAAATTGAGGGAGGGAAGACTACGGTGGTTTGGGCATATCCTTAGGCGACAACCGTCGGATGCGGTCAAGAGGGTAAGAGTCGATTACATTCGACGGTGCCAGAAGGAGAGGATGACCAATGCGGAAATGGGAAGACTGCTTGAGATCTGATTTGAAGGATTTAGCCCTTACTAAGGACATAACCTCTGATAGGAAAGTATGGAGAGTTAAGACCAGGGTAGCCGAGTAGTGCGGGTCACAGACATAGGGTGTAACATCTCTATCTTCTTTTTAATGTCTTTGTAGTAATTTACATGACTTCTACTTTATATACGTTATTGTCATTGGAATTTATAAAGGCTTAGAACTAGAGTAGGGGAGTAGTGTTGCCTTAGTTTAGGTGTTAACCCATTTGACTTTATTCTTTCCCGTAGCTTGCTATCATTGACTTCTGTGTATCATTCTCTTCAGGTTACCTCTTTTTTTAAAATTTAGCTGGGTCTTACTTTTCTGTCTATATGCAGAGATTTTTACGCAGAGATTTATTTGTAGTGATTACTTCCCATTACAGACGCATATATGAAGATTGTTCAACTATGTATTTATTTATTTATTTATTTATACATGCATTGCATGTTATCTTTATTTTTAAGTTTCTAACTGTCAGAGGTCTCCTACGAAAGTTGCTGTCAACCTGGCGTTAGGGGCATCCTACTATCCTATCTCCCTCTTACCCTATTACATATGAGAATAGGGTTTTATTGTTGTTGTTGTTGTTGTAATTTATTTTCAGATATAATTCCACTTTTTACTCATATATTTATGTATAAAATAATTAATTATAATCATAATTATATATATATATATATATGTATTGATTGAAATTATAATTTTGTATATATATTGTTTTGACTGTAATTATATTATGTTTTTATTATAATTGTTATAGTAAACTTTAAAAATGTTTAATAAATTAATAAAAAAATCATTTAATTGAAAAAAAACATATTTGGTAATCATATCAAATTTTTATTTAATAGAAAATAATTTAAAATAATATGTTAAATATAATAAATAGTTAAGCATCTATTTATCACATGTTAAGTATATTTTAGAAAATAATTCTAAAAAATAGGTATTCAAATAATGAGGTATGCACAGGGTGCTTGTTCATCCTGTTCCTTAACTGTGTAGTTGAAAAGTATTCATAAGGAGAATGGTTTACACAACAGTAAATTGTTATATCAAAAGATATCCAAAGATTAAAATTATGTATAATATATAAAGGAATTGTATAATATAAGATTTAATGGTGATAAAATTCAATTCTTTATTTTTAATATATTAAACAACCAAGGATTAAGCAATAGTCAAACCAAAATAAATCTAACAAATTCACTTGTTTCATCCAATTTTAGTCTTATAGGTTTAACCTTCTTACCAGTCAGGCTATCCTGTTGAAAGTCGTTTCTGAAAGCTGTTGCATGTGCAGCTGTGATGTTTGTTTAGACATGAACCAAAACCCCATCAATAACAAAATTGATCTTAGGCTCTTTTTGGGAGCCTGGTCGCGAAAACACCCGCCGATCGCACCAGGTGCACGACATAAATTACGACAATGGAAAAGTTTCCCTACATGTATCCATTCGGTTTCTCTCCACTCTGTGTGGATCTCTTCTGCATGCTAGCTTCATAATGTTGAATAGCGGCACCTAGAGCCTGTACAAGGGAGTGAACTTCAGAAAAATAGTTATACATAATAAAACCTACTTCGAGTGATAATATGCCGTAATAGGCATTGCCTGATGGCACCGCAATGAATGTATTGTAGCTAATTTCATGCCATAGGACACGAGTCGTGACTGCAACTTCATGTGCTGCTAATACCATCTGCTCATGAGACTAATGCAAGTAGAACAAACCGATCCCAAGACTCAACCGATGTCCAAAACCATCACATGGGCAAACATCCAAGCCAGTAGTAGAATTTTGAAGCCCAAAGTTCAGGAGAATAAGTGAAACTACTACTGCCTGCAGTTTAGTTCCTATATTTCTTTGTATTCTCCCTTTCATTTTTCTGGACTTGGACTAAATATTAAGAGAAGTTCTCACCTGATGCCGAAGCTCCGATGGGACAGAACCCTTAATCTCCTGGAATTTTATGGCAGGCTTATAAATGATATAGCTAAACTGGAAAAGCTAATATTATCAACAGCAGGACATAAATAAATAAATAAATAAAGCCAAAGCATCTTCGACTAATCATCCAAAACAAAATCACTGCATAAAGAGTAGAATCAAATAGAACTGAGCTTATGAAATGCTAGTTAAAGAAAACAATAGCATTAATTTAGAACTACAGGGACTATAATGTTATCGTCTCTGAACAAACGACCATGAAAACAGGTACCGAGACAGAAACCAGAAATTTTAAGAACTTTTTTGTGACAAATTTACTTCTAATTGTGGATAGATATTTGACATGGCATCCTTCAGTCTGTTAACCTGCATAGAGCAGCTGAATGAAAACTTCGGATGATAAATTCTAAAAAGTAGAGATTTTTAATCAAGAAAGTCAATCATATTGAGATTTAACATAGAGAATGCTATGTTAGAATGCAATGCTTTCAGTTTCATCTGCTTTCAGTACAATGTTCAACAGACAACAACTGAATACACAGCTTTTCCTTGAAAAATACACAAAAACAGAGTTGCTTCTTGTTTGAATAAAGCGTTTTCTTTTTCTTTTTGTAACTTAATTTTTCCCCCATTTTGAAAAATTATATAAAACTTGAATCTTCATCCATTGGGAGGAAAAATCATCAACATTCATTCGTAAGGTATACCAGCTCCAGGTTTTGTACAACCTTCACATAGAGGTAAGAGGTGGTGATAGGATATGATGACCAAAAATGTTTGAGTAGTTCAATGATTGAAGTCCAATGCTGGAAACATAGAGAAGTTTCTATAATCGAACTAGAAACAAAATTATCAAATTAAGTAAAATAAAAATGCACAACCTTAATGGAATGCAGAACAGATAATGTTCCAAAATCCATGGAATAAAAACAGCTATATTACTCTAATGAAGAAATCTCACATGCAATAGGTCCTCCTTAGTTTTCCTTGGTAGCCTGTCCAGAACACTCTCTTGAGGATTTTTCCCAAAATATTATGTTTGGTATTGGAGATACTATAAGTCAAAGCATCAAAAACCTGCATCATAAAGTTTCACTGTTAGTTATTATCCACCACTTTCCATTTTAACAAGCACCATGAAGATATTGCTATTACCTGATGAGCAACTTCGGGTTTGACAATAGGCTCATTCAACCCCATAGCTTTGATCGATGAGATAAAAGCCCTTAAAGAACCATACACCTCCGGGATGCTCAAACTACATTTTATTTGTTCAGTTCCACCAAGTGCGTCTCCAGAAGTTCTAAGTGCATTGGCTTGTTGAGAGTCAAAATAATCCTGAGGATCCTGGTTTGGGGCACAAACAATCAAGACATCTACAAAGAAGTGATCTATCAAAGCCACAAGAGCAGAGGAGTCACCTTAATGCAAAGTGGTGCTAATGGAAGACTATTTGATCCCTGGAGATATTCTATTTCAGTCATCCTTGATAACCTATCCAACCTCTCACGACTTGTATCCCCATCAGATTCTCCCTTCTTCGATGATTCTAATGCAAAGATAGAATGTAAATATCCATTCTAGGGCATAAATC